GGCACCCGGCTGATGGGCACCGGGGCGCCCCGCCCGTCCGCATCCCCCCCCGCCCGCACCTCACATCCCGCCCGGTCCCGCCCAGTGGAGGGAGGAGCGGGCTGCGCCCGTGAGCCGCGCGAGTGAGGGTGGGAGAGGGTGCGGCGGGGAAAGTTGGAGTGTGACTGAGTGTGCTGGTGAGCGAGTGGCAATATGCAGGAGTCTGAGAGCGCCCGTGTGTGGCTGGGCGTGAATAAATGACACGACTAGGTGTAGTGCGAAGTGTGAGTGTGCACGAGTTTGTGATTGCAAATACACGGCTGATCGAATATGTGAAGTGTGAGTGTGCACGAGAGTGTGCATGTGCGTGAGTTTGAGAGTGCAGATGTGTGGCTGAGTGTGAATCTACGAAGCAGGGGTGGTGGGCATCGTGAGTGTGGAGGTGTGAGGCTGAGACTGTGTGTGTGTGAGCGAGTGAGCAGGTGGGAGTGAATGTGTGTGAGAGCATCTGAGAGCCCGTGAATGTAGGCGTGGAGTATATGTGTACTGTGGTCGGGTGGCAGGGCTTGTGGCTTCTCTGGGCCACAGTGACCGCGCTGCAGCCTTGTCTCCTGCCGGGAGGGGCCCTGGGGCGCAGCCAGGCCTGGCTCCGGCTCTCCCGTGAATGCTAGAAGCTGACAGACTTGTGAGCCCCATTTCACAGATGAAGAAATGCAACCCACACTTGGCCGCCTGCCTGTGCCTGGCAGGGCCCGAACTTGTGGGCTCCAGAGTCCACCACCATGCTGTCACTTTTGGGTCGGCCCAGGGCCTCCCCACACACCTGCCTCTGGTCGTGGATTTCTCAAAAGCCACAGTGGCCGGGCTGGGTGAAGGCTGTAGGCAGAGGGCAGCCTCCCATGCCCTTACACGTACTCTGGTCCCTGGTGCTGGCTGGGCGCGGGGAGCAGGCCACAGGCCTGGCACTGAGGACTAGGCCCAGAGCCACTTGCCTCCACCGCCACCGCCACCCCGGGTGCCTGGGTCTTGGAGGGTGCCTGCTTCCTCCCTCTGGCTCTGTGAGGCTCCTCCTCACGGTGAGGCAAAAGGCCTCTTGGCCTGGGTACTTGTCAGGGAGTTGTGGCCCAGCCCAGGACTCTGGGGGACATTCAGACCAAGGAGCAGCCTTGCCCAGGGCGAACCTGTGGGTATTACTCAGCTTCGGAGTAACGTCCTGACCCTCCTCCTCCATTACTCAACCCCCTGACCCCCACCCCTGCTCTGTTTCCCAACGCTTCTCACCTTCTAGCTGGTGTTGGTAGGATTTGTCAGTGCGTCCCCAGCGTGTGGCCGCTCCATACATTTTTGCTGAAGAGCCAAGGCCTCTTGGCAACCCCCTTGTGAGGGGCAGAGCCCTGTTTGGGAGTCAGGAGACTCACCAACTCCACGGCCTCCTCGGTCCAGGGGGCCCACTGAGGACTCACAGCTGTGCTGGGGGCAGGGGGGCCGCAGTCCCAGATGGCAGGCCAGTCGCCCAGTGTTCCCCCCAGGTAGTTGGGCAGGAATTGCCCCTTCCTTGTGTGTGCCCTGTTGGGATCCCCGCTTAGCCCGAAATACCCACAGCAGACCCGAGCTAGGCCTCCTGGCACACGGTCTCCACAGGGTCTGCAGGAGGCTGGCTCGGGCCCTGGGCCCCAGACGTCTTATCGGAGATGTGCAGGCTCTGCAGGAGGCCTCCTCCCATAGTCCAGGGGGCCCCCGCTGCAGGGGTGGCATTTTAGTCTGTCAGCCACCTGGGGGGAACACGGGGATTGGCCCGCCATCCAGGACAGTGGCTCCCCTGCCCCCAGCACGGCTGTGAGTGCTCAGTGGGCCCGGACAGGCTGCCATTACAGGTAGAGTCCTAGGCTTGCCACTGCCCCCCGCCCTGGCTGCCCTGTGCCTCATCTGTGGCCCTCAGCCCTGGCCCCAGCAAAGCAGGGCTGTGTCTCCCCTGCTGAGAGCAGCATTGCTGTGCACCTGCCCCTCCGCCCCGGTTCCCCTCCCCCACAGTTCCGAGCCAGGAGCCCCCCTCTGCAGAACTTCCTCCCCTCCCTCCTACTTCCTTCCACTTCCTGAGAAGGGGACCAGGAGGGGGGTGGACACTCAGATCGCAGCAGGACAGCTGGTGGGCGACAGGCAGGTAAGGCTCAGCACAGGGAGCTGGCACCTGGGGGGGGCTCAGTCTGCCCACGCAGACCTAACCCGGGTAGAGTGGATGCCACGGTCCCAGTAGGGAATTCCAGGGGCTGAGCAGCAGGGCAGGGTGCCCCGTGGAGGGTAGCAGGCTTCCCAGCCCCTCAGCAGTGGTGGGCGAGCTGGGGGCTCCCTGGAGACATCCTGGGACTTTGGCTGCCCCTTCTGTGTCAGCAGAGGTGAGGAAAGGCAGGTGCTGGGTTCCCTGGTGGGCAGAGCATGGCCTGGGGGGCATCGGGTCAAGGCTTGGGAGGCAGCTGTCTCCTAGACCCACCCCCCCAAAGGCTGTGGTGACGTGGGTATGTGCGTGTGTGTGTACGTGTGTGTGTGTGTACATGTGTGTGTCTGTGTACGAGCAGCTCGGCTGAGGAGGAGCTGGGGTGGGGCCTTGGCCTCAGCCGTCTGCCTCCTGTTTACTCTGCCCACCGCGTGCAGGGCTGGCGGGGGCTGCAGAGTTGCGGGAACCCAAGTTGCGGGAACAGGGCATCCCTGCCCCTTGTGAATCTGGCAGAGCCTTCAATTTTCGGGAGATGAAGCCACTGTACCCTTTCCCCTGACTGCGTCTGGCTTCCCCACTGGCTTGAGCTCCTCAGGGGCAGGGTGCCCTGGCTTGTGTCCCCCGAATCCAGCGTGAGCCCTGGTAGGTGTGCTCCCGGGGGTTTCTGGCCTGAAGGACGAGCTGCCCACAGCGGCCTCCCCGGGTAGGAATGTTGCGCATGCCAAGTCCACCTCTGCTCTCTCAGGGGCCGCATGGTGCCCGCGGGCACAGAGAGGCAGTGTTGTACGGTGACTCAGTGCTTGGACTCGAGCCAGATGCCGGGGTTCAAATCCTGGCCCTTGGGCCAGGTCTGTCACCTGGGCCTCAGCTTTCTGGCCTGGAATGGGCTTCAGGATTATGGGAAATAATTATGCGCAAGGCGGCCGCCCAGTGCTCTGCAGAGCCCAGTCCCTGGCAGTGGGCGCTGGAAGGGAGGCAGCTGACCTGTACCACCTGCCCACGTGGGCGGCCCCTTCTGGCCTTGGCACTGATCCTACCATACCTCTGGAAGGTGGGTGCGCCTAACAGGATCGAAGCTAGGATCCTAGCCGCCTGGGCCTGTGCTCTGTGGAGGGCTGTGGGTTTTTTAAATCGACAGGGTAAGCTGGTAGGCCCGTGCCTTCCCGGGAGGGACCTGGCCTCTTGCCCTGGTTCCTGAAACTTCCAGACAAAATAAAAAGAGTCAGAGAAAGGCCTGGAGTGGGGGCGGGGGTGGGGCTTGTTGTTGTCCCTTCACGAATTTATCCACAAATATTTACGGAGTGTCTCTGCTCTGAGCTCTGGGGGTGCCGTGGTGATGAGACACCCAGATGCCCCCACCCTTCTGGGACTTCTGCTCTGGGGTCTGCTGTTCCGTGTCAGCCGTGACCACATGTGGGCGCTGGCCCCGGCTGTTTGAGCCCAGGCTGGCATCCGGGGTCCCCGAGGCTGGGAATGGCATCTGGAAGGTCTGTGCTAGGGCTGCAGCCCTTGTTCAGGACTTGCCTTCAGAGCTGTTGACTTAGGAGTCGTTTTCACTGCCAGTGTTTGTGGGCTTGGGGCAGGTGAGAGATAAGGAACAGAAAATTGGGAACCCAAGCCCAGACTTCACCCTGGGCCTCCCTGAGCCTCAGTTTCCTCATTTGTCAAATGAATGCAGTTGGCCTATCTCCCACTGCTGTGGGTCAGTGAGGAAATGCAAGGGAGCGAGCTGCAGGCCAAGGGGTCTTATGTTATTAAACTTGGCTGTGCACTCGGGAAAATAAAACTCCAGGGAGCACCAAACACAACTCCAGCTGGCTCTTACTGTCATTGCAATTCATCTCCAGGGCTCCCTACAATGGTGATTTCCTGCAAATGTAACTTCACTTCATTTCTCCCTCAGCAGTGTTCCCAACGGATATGGCTTCTCTGGGAGGGGCCTGCAGAATCTCCTCACTCCCACAGACTTTGCAGAGGGGAGCAGGGGCTGTGGAAGTCCTCTGAGGGCCTGATTAACTAGGGAGGGGCCAGTCAAGGAAGATTTGACATTTGAACTGGGCTCTGAAGGATGAATAGGAGTTTCCTGTTTGGATGAGGGAAGAAAAAGGGCATTTGGGGCAGAAAGAAGAGTATGCAAAGGCCTGAGGCAAGAAGGGCTTTTGGCCAGAGTTGTAGCCATACAGTAGGGGCCTTGAGTGTAGGCAATGGGGAGCCATCGTGGGTGTTTGAGGAGGGGGTGGGTGCCCTGTTGGCTTGGCAGCTGGGGCCTCATTGTGGGAGGCAGGATATCGGACTGTGGTGGAGCAGGTGGGATTCGGGCCTCGGGCTCTGTGGCCAGGGCACAGAGAGGGCATCCGTCCTGGGAGGTGGCCTAGGAAGAGCTAGACAGGCCTGGCGTTGAGTCCTGGCTCCACCCCTTGACTTGCTGCAGGACCACAGGCAAGTCACTTAACTGAGAAACAGGGACAGTAGTATCCCCTGTGAGTGTGGTCCCCTGAGGGTTGACTTTGGTGCGATTGGGGCAAGATACTGGCCTTCCCGGTGTCTGTTTCCTTTCCTGTAACCTGGTGATTATCATGGCGCCTATGGCCTGAGGTCGAAAGGAGGATTCTCCCAGGTTGCTCACATCCCATTCGCCGAGCATTGCCAGCTTGGAAACGTTTGCCGGCCTGCTCTGTGTGTGCCCTATTCCATCTCCGCCCCCCCACCCCCACCTCCCCAGCCCTAGATGGGACCGTCCATTTGCACTTGGGGAGGGTGGGGCCTGGAGAGGCAGAGATTCTCTCCTGAGGTCCTGAGCTGGGGTTTCAGACCTGGGCCTTCTGACCCCCGGGTTCAGGGCTGCCAACCAGGCCCCTTAATGAGACCCAGGATGGGCGAAACGCCGTGTGGTGCCTGGGATACGGTGGGTGCTGGTTAAATGGGCAGTGGCCAGAGACCCCTGCCGCATGGCCCCAGCCCCTGCTGTGATGGGTGGGGTTGGAGAAGGGAGCCCTGGCTGGCTCCCATGGGCCTTTCCTTCAGACTCATTAGTCACAGACCAGGGGCTCTGTGGGGTGGGGCCTAGGCTGTACCCAGCCTGGAGGCCCTGCCCGGAAGAGAAGGCACATTGTTCTGAGCCCAAAAAAGGGCCTGAAACCACAGCTGCGACAAGGTAACTTGAAGCTGCTGGGCCAGTTTGGGGAGCAGGGGCCAGGCCTGCCATGGGATCTTGTGCTTCTGCCCTTCCTTCACCTGGGTGTTCCATCTCCCTGGTGGTAGAGGCCCATTGAGGACGGCAGGAAAAAGCTCCTGTGTGTGCACCCACGTTCCTCTGTGACCTGGGCGCCCCCATCTCATCTCATATCTCGGCTCCCCCAGGAGGTGGGCAGAGCAGTAGCTCTTACCTACCTTCTACAGATGAGAACACTGAGGCTCAGAGAGGCCTCAGGTACTCAGCCAGAGCGCCTTCCCTGGGTTGATAGAAACTGGGGAATCCTGGCAAGGCTTCTAGGAAGCCAGGGAGCAGTGGGTTGGACCTTGAGAGGTGAGGGTCCTCTCACCCAGCCACTTCCAGGTCCATGCTCTGCAGAATATGCTATCTCCAGAAGCCCACAAAGGAAGCAAAGAGGCCTCCATGCAAGCAGAGAACTTGGCTCCGAGCTTCCTGGCCACCAAGGCAAAAAGGGGAACTTGTAGGATGATGATAAGAACACATGGTCATTTGCTGAGAGAATTAAAGTCAGGGAGGTGTGCTAGTGATGCTTGGAGAACAAAACGTGAGCCAGCTTTCTGGAGAAGCAGTGTTCTGTGTGGACACACAGGAGCTTTTTCCTGCCGTCCTCAATGGGCCTCTACCACCGCACTGTTCAAACGACCAGTGTGGGCTCCTCCCCACCCCACCCCCACTTTTTATTTTGAAATAATTTCAGACTTACAGTAAAGTTGCAGTAATGTGCAAAGAACCATTGTATACTTTTTGCCCAGATGGACCCAGTGTTAACATTTACTATATTTGCTTTATTGTGGGTGTGTGTATATTTTATTTATTTTTTTAACTATTTAAGAGTAAGTTACAGGTACGATGCCCCTTTACCCCCTAAGGACAAGGCCATTCTGTTGCCTAATTACAGGACAGTGATCAAATCAGGAAAGTAACGTTGATGCAATGCTCTTACCCTTTTTTTTTTTTTTTAAGATTTGTATTTATTTGACAGAAGAGAGAGAGAGTGAGAGAGCGCACGAGCGAGCGGCAGGCAGAGGGAGAAGCAGGCTCCCTGCTGGGCAGAGAGCCCGATGTGGGGCCAATCCCAGGACCCTGGGATCATGACCTGAGCCAAAAGCCGACGCTTAACCGACTGAGCCACCCAGGCGCCCCTGCAATGCTCTTATCTAATCCATGGGTCTTAATTCAGATTTCACCCATTGTCTCAATATTGCCCTTTATAGGGGTGCCTGGGTGGCTCAGTCGGTTGAGCATCCGACTCTTGATTTCAGCTCTGGTCCTGGTTGTGAGATCAAGCCTGTTTCCGGCTCTGCGCTCAGCAGGGAGTCTGCTTGAGATTCTCCCCCTCCCTCTCTGCCCCTCCCCTGCTTGTGCTCGCTCTCTCTGTCTCTTTCTCTCAAATAATAAATAAATCTTTAAAAAAATATTGCCCTTTATAGCTGTTTTATTTCTGACGCAGGATTTAGTCCAAAGCCACGCATCGCATTCTGGTGCTCTGTCTCTTTGGCCTCTATATTGGTTTCCTAGGACTCTTAACAGTCACCACAAACTACATAAAACAGCAGACGTTATTCTCTCACTCTTCTGGAGGCCAGAAGTCTGAAATCAGTGTGTTGGCAGGGCCACCCTCTCTGGAAGTGTAGGGAAGGGTCCTTCTTGTCTCTTCCTGCTTCCAGTGGCTGTCAACAATGTTTAGCTTCCTTGGCTTGTGGCCACCTTGCTCGTCTTTGTCTCTGTCTTCATGTGGCCTCTGAGTCGTCTTTCTCTTATAAGGACACTTGTCATGGGGTTTAGGGCCCACCAGAATAATCCCAGATGATCTCATCTCAAGATCCTTAGCTTGGTTGCATCGGCAAAGACCCTTTATCCAAGTCAGGTCACATTCCCAGGATCTGGGTGGATATATCTTTGGGCCACCATTCAACCCACCAGAGCTTCCTTTAATTGGGACCAGTTCTCTGACCTTTCTTTGTTTTTTTGTGCCGTTGACATTTTTGAGGAGTCTTGGCCAGTTGTCCTGGAGAATGGCCCTCACTGTTTTCCTCATGGTTAGAGGCAGATGAAACGATCCCATTTCACAGATGGAGAAACAGCTCAGAGGCGGCTAAGTGATTTGCCCCCGGGACAAAAACAGCTAGAAAGAACAGGTGACCACTTGTCTTCCTCCGCAAGGTTGTTCTCCCCAAGTAAACCGAAGCAGTGAGCTATCTGGCCATGGGATTTGGGTTTTCTGTTTTTTAAAAATCTAAACACCGGTGCCTGGCTGGCGCAGTCAGTTGAGCATCCGACTCTTGGTTTCGGCTCGGATCGTGATCTCGGAGTTGTGGGATCAAGCCCCGCATCTGGCTCTGTGCTCCGCACAGTCGGCTTGGGACTTTCCCTCTCCCTCTGCTGCTCCACCCCGTGCTCGTGTGCTCCGCCCCCTCCCATAAATAAATAAATCCTTAAAAAGAAGTCTACTTTAAAAAATAAATAAAAATCTAAACTAGCTCTTAGGGTCTTTGTGAGGTTGAGATATGGGGGGGCAGGGGGCTGGCAAGGAGGAGCCTCTCAGGGTCATGCAGGAGAGTGAGCATGGGCCCGCTGTTTGAGTGGGATTGGGGAAGTGAGTGGACTCAGGTTCACATTGCAGCTCCCCACCCACCAGCTGCTGTGTGATTGTGGGCACGTTGCTTCACCTCTCTGAGCTGCTTGCTCATCTGTAAAGTGGTGGTGATGACAACCCACTGAGGGCTGTCCTGAGATGAACGCCCGTGTGGGGCTCATCATGGTGCTGAGCAGTAGACTCTCCGAGTTTCAGGGGACCTTGCAGATCATCTGGTCCATTCATTTCAGAGAGGGGAAGGGACTTAGCCAGGATCCCACAGCCAGCAGGAGCAGAGCTCCCCAGTGCCCAGTTCAGTGCCTCAGCTGTCTCTCCCACCTTAAGGCAGAACTCTGGGCTCAGGGGTGTGCCTATGTAAATAGAGCTAGCGCTCAACATCACTTAATAGAACCAGGGAAATTGACTAAAGGAAGGGAAGGAGGGACGGAGCACAGATACACAGTGCTCAAGATGAAGCACAATTACTTGTGAACTTTACTCTGAGCTTCCTGGCAGCCAAAGTGAAAAGGGACACATGCTCTGTTACATAGCTTTCTTTGTCCTGGTTCCTCTGGGAAGTGGAGCTTTGCCAGTGACTTAGGAATACGGTGATAGGTTTCATGTGCCTGGGGTTTATAACTTTGCCCAGTCGGCACCAGAATGGATGCTGGGATTCCCTGGATGAGGATGGTGGGGAGAGGGTGCTCCTGGCAGAGGGGACAGCATGAGCAGAGGCCTGGAGGTGTGAACCAGCTGGTGTGTCTGCGGGAAGGGCAGGGGGCAGGCCCCTCCCCGTACCCACACTGACCTCGTGGGTCTGTCCCTGTCATTTCAGTTGGGCCACGTGGTCCTCTCCCCAGTCTGGTTCCTCTACAGCCTGCTCATGAAGCTGTTCCAGCGCTCCACCCCGGCCATCACCCTTGAGAGCCCGGACATCAAGTACCCATTGCGGCTCATCGACAAGGAGGTGAGTGCCTGACACCGTGGGGGTCTGGACCCATGGAGGCTCCTCGCCCTCTTTGCCAGCATCACAGTGTTTCTCAGCACCTGCTGTGTGTGCTCAGGGCCCCGGCCCCCGCTCCAAAGTAGGTCCTGTTGTTTGACCTTCTTATAGATGGGAAATTGAAGTGATGTTGCCTTCTAAAGTTACCTGTAAGTGTGCAGAAGGATTCAAACCCAGGTCTCTGACCACAGAGCCTGCTCTCTGAACTACGCTCTCTATCCCACAGAAAGCCAGAACAATAGGGATCCCTCAGGACTTTGGGGTCGAAGCGCCCATTTAACAGATGGGAAAACAGAGGGCAAGAGAGGAGCAGGGGGGCGTTGGAGGTCACATTGTGAGTTAGGGGTAGAACCAGGATTCAGGCCTACCCCCGCCTTGGTCCCAGGAGCTTCCCAGCCCAGTGCCCCTTTCCTTAAAGTGAGTGACTGCTCCCTGCCCCCACGGTCATCTACTCCGGGCCTGGTACTTGTTGGACCCCGGTATCTCTTCCTCTGTGCAGATTCGTGATCCCATTATCTCGCTATGGGGCTCCATCCACCCCTCTGGAAGGCTTACTCTTGCCCTCCTGTTTGACCCTTTTCCTTTTCAAACGTCTGATCATGATTTAAAACCATCCTCTCCCTCCTTTGACTTGCCTCCCTATAACAGCTGCTTTTCTCCCTACTCTCCCTCAGCAGAGCCCCTCCTTGCTGCTATTTCTGGCCACTGGCAGCTGCCTTGGAAGGGTGTGACAGGGAGAACTGAGTCATGGAGCAGAGAAAGTCACCTGCCAGGCCCTGAGCCCTGGGCCCTGCCTGGCTCCACCCTGAGCTCCATGCGAGTCTGAGGTCCCCTGAGGCACAGGACCGGGAGGTCACAGACACGTCAAAAACCAAAGATAGGGGGAAAAAAAAATCGCTTCCCAGAGGCTTTTACCAGGCTTTATCTTTTCATTATGTTTTATATATATTTTAAAAAATTTTAATTCCAGAAGGAATGTATGGCTTGTATGTGCTCACTATAAAAATTCTTTGTGAAGTATTAACGTCCCGTCCGTCCCATCCCCTGCCACGCCTTCCCCGTATGGAGGGTCCCAATTCACGGGCCCGTGTGAGCCTTTTCTGGGCATCACATTCATATACGTGGATTTGCAGAGTTTTAGGCGTGTATATACTTACTCTCACTTTTTTAATAACCTGATTTTTTTAGCCAGCCATACAACATGGACACCTTATCACATCTCACCTAAAGCTGGTTCATTATTTTTGACGACAGTCTAGTATTTCCCTGTAGGGATGTTGCACAGTGGACCCACCAGTCCCTTTTGATTGAGCCGGAGGCTAATGTCTTAGCAGTTAAATCTGCCGCCTCCCCGTTGTAGCCTAGTGGTGGCTTTCCGGGGTCAGCAGGTGGGTCCGCTTTTTTTTTTTTTTTTTAAAGATTTTATTTATTTGGCAGAGAGAGAGGCAGGGAGAGAGGAAATACAAGCAAGGGGAGCAGCAGAGGGAGAAGCAGGCCCCCCGCGGAGCAGGGAGCCCAATGCGGGGCTCGATCCCAGGACCCTGGGATCATGACCTGAGCCGAAGGCAGACGCTTAACGACTGAGCCACCCAGGCGCCACCAGTCCGCTTTTTGATACTTTTGCTAAGCTCCCCCAGGGGCACAGGGAAGCCCCCACTGCTTGCCCTCCCCGTACCTGTTGACCCTCAAGGTCCCCCCGAAGCTCTGGGGGTCGACTGCTCGGCTCATCACAGCCAGCAGCCTCCTGAACGCCAGCACCATGCTGAGCCCCACACAGATGTGCCCTGCCACTGTCATCCAGCCCAAGAATTATCAGTCTTTCCCTCGTTTCTCTTCTTCTTCCAAAAATTGTCTGGCGTGTGGGTTTCTGACCTTGAGCCCCAGGACCAATGGATAATCCTGGAATCTGTTCCCAGGAGGCCTGGGGGCTCCGTTTGCGTGGAGTGCAAGGTTCCCGGGGGAGGCAGCCTCAGGCCTGGGCTGCTGGGGTGGAGAGACCGCTGCTTGCGTCCTGAGTGGTGGGTGGGCTCTGGCTTTCTGAGACCCGGGCCTCCTGGCTCTGCTCGGATGCTTCAGGGACACTCAGAATGATGCTCTGCTCCTCTGGAGGAGTCTGCTGTCCTCCCTCCAAGTGATGACACTGTGTCCATCCGTGACCTTGCCACGTCGCCTGGTCTCGTGTGGGCGCGGACCAGTGCTGGACAGTGGCCTGCCTTCTGTGCGGCCCCTCCGCACCCCCCGTCCTGGCTGCCCCGGGTGCAGGAGAGACCTCACAGGGGCCTCAGGGGGCTGGGGTGCTGGGCTTGTTCCCGGCTCTGACTACAGCTTACTGTGGGAGGCTTGCCTCCCCTGGCCTTGGTTTAAGACTGCTTAATGGGGATTCAGGGGCTTGGGTTCCGGCTCCTTTTTCGGCCCAGCCTGGCCCTTAACCAGCCTCTGCCCTGCTCTGGAGGGGAAGTGGCTGTCACCTGCCCATCCTGCGCAGGGTGGAGGCCTGGCTTAGGGCTCTTAGCCGTGGCCATGACCTCGTGAGCAGTGGGGCTGGCACGCTTCCTGCCCTGTGCAGCCCTGCTGCAGTCACAGCCGTCCCACTTCTCAGGGGGCTTTTAGTGTAATCCGGAGCCCCTCTCTTGTGTCCTCGGCCCGGGTACACGGGCCTTGTCTCAGCTCTGCCCCTAGCTTGCCAGCCCAGGGCCCGAGGTCTTCCTGCCACCCCAGGACACTGCCCAAGCTGATGGCAGGGTTGGATCCTCCCCCTTGCCGCCAGAATTCTCTGGGCCATCTGGCAGCCTCCCTCTGGGATCCTGAGTTTGTTCCCTATCCTAATCACCTCGCTGGGTGGCCCCGGGCGGGCCCCTGCCCTTCCCTGGGCCAGTGGGAGCAGACGCGGTGTGCTTGCCTCCGGCGCCCGTGCACACGTGTGTGCAGGATGTGTGTCCGCAGTGGCAACAGCATCCCTTCTGGGTGGCACGGGGCACGAGCAGCTCTGAGGGCTGGGGGCGGGGCGCCGCCCAACGGCTCGGGTCTCTTTGCAGCTGATCAGCCACGACACCCGGCGCTTCCGCTTCGCCCTGCCGTCGCCGGAGCACATCCTGGGCCTCCCCGTCGGTGAGTGACGCCGGGGGCTAGGTCAGAGAGTGGGAGCTTTACACTTGAACTAGGGAGAGTGGGGAAGGCTTCAAGGTGACAGCCACACTGGGCCTCCAAAGATGAGTGTCCGAAAGAGAGGGGGAAATCCCCGCTGTCCCCGGCAGTGTCCCCGGCAGGAGCAGAGGTGTGGCAGCAGGAAGCTGGGGTGTGATGGGAATCCCCGGGGGGTGGGGGCGGGAAGGGGGCCCTGGAGCCCAGGCCAGGCTGGCCTCTGAGGACAGGGCGGAGCACGGGGCCATGGCTGACTCGACCCAGCACAGCCTGCAGAAGGTAGTCCGTGGCCCCTTCGGGACCGGCATCACCCCTCCTCATCCTGCAGGCCAGCACATCTACCTCTCAGCTCGGATCGATGGAAACCTGGTCATTCGGCCCTACACGCCCGTCTCCAGCGATGACGACAAGGGCTTTGTGGACCTGGTCATCAAGGTGAGGTCTTGGGGCCGCGGCCGTGTGGGGGCAGGAGTGACCACATCCCTTGTACTCTGGTCTCTGAAGGCCCAGTGCTCCCTCGTGCCTGGCTTCTGAATGAATAGCAAACTGGAGTTTCCCAGCACAAGCCAAATGTGGGGGCTTGGCAGAGGGCAGGATCTAAGGACAGATCGTCTGCAGGAGAGAAACCAGGAAGGTTGACCAGCTCGTGCAGAGCTCACTTGCCTGCTCTTGGACGGGCAGAGCCTAGGGCACTGGGTGTCCGGTTGTGGCCCCAGGGGGCCTGCCCCACCACACTCAGTCACACGGGCTCGGTGACCAGCCGGTCCTTTCCTGAGCACGTTTCCCTAAGAAACAGTCTAAAGCCCCCTCAAGAGTGGTGTGAGGAGCTCAGGTCGTTGTCTGGGGAGCTGAGATCCATCATGGGTGAGGGGTGGGTACACGCTGTGGAAGAGATGAAGCCATTAGATCAGAGACGCCCAGAACAGCCGGCAAGGATCTTAAGAATCATCACGTTGAGGGGCACCCAGGTGGCTCAGTTGGTTAAGCGTCTGACTCTTGATTTTGGCTCAGGTCATGATCTCAGGGTTGTGAGATCGAGCCCCGTGGAGTCTGCTTGAAATTCTCTCTCCCTCTGCCCCTCCCCCCTACTTGCGCACTGTGCTCTCTTGCACGTGTGCTCTCTCTCTCTCTCTCTAAAAAAAAAGTCATCACATCAAGTGGAAAGAGAAATGACAACCGTAGCACAGTATACTTTTGTGAAAATTAGAAGCACAAGCTTTACAGAACGATCCATGTACTCAGATTACACGTCCAACAAATGCAAACCAGCCCAGGCCAGTGGAGGTGGGGTGTGGAGACCCTCCCAGGAAAGGCCCAAACCCCCATGGCCACCCTGGCTCAGCACTCCTGGGGGCCAGGCTTACTGTCCTAACTCCACTGTGTGGGCCCCCTCACTGGGCCCCTCGTGGGCGGAAGGACAGAGGCAGAGGCCCCTGTGGGCCGCAGCTGAGGCCCTGGGTCTCACAGTGTCCTGGGGTGGCGCCAGGTCTTTGAGGACAGGAAAGGAGCTCAGCCTGGGTCCCTCCTTAGCTTAGTGTCATTTAGATCGTACTGGGTGCCCAGGCCCAGGCTCGGGAGCCTGTCTTTGCCTGGAGAGTGGATACCCTTGCTCCAGGGGAGAAGCACATGAGACTGAGCACCAGGAATGGCACAGAGTGGGGCAGGTGGGGTGATGGGAACTGCTCCCCTGGGCAGGTAACAGAGGGCCAAGACGTGGAGGCCGAGGAGGCGTTGACCAGACGGAGAGGAAGGAGAAGGACCTTCCCGGTGCAAAGGCCCTGAAGTCAGAAGTAGGCTTAAAGACTGATGCAGCCAGGGGCACCTGGGTGGCTCAGTCGTTAAGCATCTGCCTTCGGCTCAGGTCATGATCCCGGGGTCCTGGCGTCAAGCCCCGCATCGGGCTCCCTGCTCAGCGGGAAGCCTGCTTCTCCCTCTCCCACTCCCCCCCCTGCTTGTGTTCTCTCTCTCGCTTTGTCTCTCTCTGTCAAATAAATAAATAAAATCTTTGAAAAAAAAAAAAAAAAGACTGATGCAGCCAAAGGGCAGGGGCTTCAGAGGACTAGGGGGGATAGGGAGGCAGTAAGGTTTAGGGCTTTGTCCAGAAGGAAAGGGAATGTGTCGAGGGTTGGAGCATCTGTTCTTGTTGGAATCACTCTAGCCGGATGTGGAGAAGGTGTTGGGGGTGGGGCTGGGATCCAAGTAGAGGATGGGAAACTCAGGAAGACCAGGCCCCTTCTGGCTCAGAGACCTTGCTCCCTGCTCCCCATTGGCCCCGGACAAAGGTCAGAGTCCTGGCCTGCACATGGCTCTGGCCGCCTCTCCCTGTCCTTGCGCTTCCCCCATGCTGACACCCCCCTGTGCTGTGTTCTCCCCGAGGCCCAGGCCTTTTGGGCTGCCTGTCTCCCTCCCCAGCCGCCCCTCCCTGCCCATCACTGCTGCTGGCCACCCCTCCCCCCCCCCAGCCCAGCACCCTCAGCCCTGGGCAGGGTGAGCTGCATGCCCTCAGGCTCCCTGTCTCTGTCTTGTAGCACTTTTCTCTCAAAGGGGAAGCCCCACAGGGCACAGGGAGGGAAGTTGTTCCAGAAACGCTGTTTTTATGACAGCACAGAATGGAAAAAACCAAACATGCACAGGAGGGAGCTAAGCCCACTTCCTGGAGCCTTTTCTGTGCTGACAGCGTGGGAATCTCCCACCGGGAGGGGACACAGAGACCGTTCTTGGCCGAACGTTAATACATTAAGCCCTCGAGTTGGGAGCCTTGTTCACCAGGCTGACGCTTTGTTCAGAGGGAATGTTAGGGAAAAGCAGACTCCTGGGGGGCTGGCATGCAGATGGGTGAGTTTAGATGGGTGGACAGGGCCTTACGTGAGAGAGCCGCGCACAGGCCGCAGAGAACCCTGGAAGAGGCGCTCTCTTCCCTCTGCGGCCCAGAGCTCAGCCCGGTGACCCTGGGAACGGGGCCTGAGGACTGGGTGTGTCTTGCAGGTTTACTTCAAAGACACCCATCCCAAGTTCCCTGCTGGAGGGAAGATGTCCCAGTACCTGGAAAGCCTGAAGATTGGAGACACCATTGAGTTCCGGGGCCCGAACGGGCTGCTGGTCTACCAGGGCAAAGGTGATTTTTGGGTTGGAGTGCCCGGAGGCCCCGGTGGGCACAGTGCATGCTGTGTCTGCTGCTGTCTGGTGGGTGGCCCTTGTTGGGCAGCCGGTCTCCTCTCTGGGGCCTCCGTTTCCCCGGCTGTATAGGAGGGAAGTTGGCCAGCACAGGGGTTGCAGACTGGCTGCCCACAGACCGCCTTTGTCTGACTGAAACCAGACAAGTGAAAGCATCGAGCCAGAGCATCTCTGGCTCCCCAGCCTCACCACTGCCCCCCACACCGTCTGTGGTGGGAACAAAGGGCCCATCTTCCTGCTCCTCTCTGCTGGCTTTGTCACTCTCTCATCCTGTCTTACCCCCAATGGTGGCTGCCCGCACCTCAGACCCCCGAAGCGGGGGCCGGTGCTCCAGCCCATCTAGCCCCAAGCTTGGCATGTTTGAGAGCTGGGGTCTCCCCATCTCCTCCCTGCTCCTCTCCGCAGGAAAGTTTGCCATCCGTCCAGACAAGAAGTCCAACCCTGTCATCAAGATGGTGAAGTCTGTCGGCATGATTGCAGGAGGGACCGGTACGTGGACTCTGAGCCCCTTGCTGAGCCTCGGCAGGCAGATGTCATGGGTGGGGGTCAAGGTCAGGGTCAGACCATGGGACCAGGCACAGATTAGAAGCAGTTGTGAGCTCCCCGAGGTCAGGAGCCCAGGCCCGGTTGTCCTGACACGCCACCCCCTGCCTGGGCCTGGGCCTGTGTGCACGAATACAGCAGGGGCTCACTCAGCATGTGTGGGGCTGCTGTTTTGCAGGCATCACCCCGATGCTGCAGGTGATCCGCGCCATCATGAAAGACCCACATGACCCTACCGTGTGCCACCTCCTGTTTGCCAACCAGGTCAGTGGGTGATCCCGAGACGTGCAAACCGGGCTCCTGCAGAGAGGGGGTGCAGGGCCCTGCGAGGCACCGCTCAGGGGGTCTGTGCGGCTCCGTGGCTGAAATGTGAGGGTGCTCTGAGCGCCCTGGGCACGGGCAGCCTTCCTGCGGCTGGTGGGGGTCAGGCTTTTCAGTCTGGAGCCCAGTGTCTGACCCAAGTGGGGCTGCTTTGGGGGCCGAGGGGGTGAGGCACCTGGAGCACCCCCCACCCTGGGATTTGCTCCCTGGCTGCTTCCTCTGAACCTCAGCACTCGCCCCACAAACAGAGGTAGGAACCCGGCAGTGAAGTGGAAGAATGCCGGCCTGGGCTGGGGCTGGGGCTGGCCTGGAGCCGGAGGGGCCAATCCTTACAGAGGGGCCGAGAGCACAGCTGCAGGCCTGCCCTGAGCTGGGGGTCTCGGGGCCGGGTCTGGACCTGGTCTCTCTGACTCCCGAGTGCATGTCCTCCTCCCCACGCCTACCCTACCGCCTGTCTGTCCTGGCCTGTTGTGTGACCTTGGACAGACCACTTTCCCTCTCTGGGCTCTGCTCCCTCACTGTGGAATTAGCTGATGAAACAAGGTCACCCGAAGGGTCTTTCTAGGTTTAGTGTTTTATGACTGAGTATGTGGATTTTGCAAAGTGACACTCCTTTGGGGGAAGGCCGAGGTGAGATACCCCTCCCCCAACAGCGCGGGGGCCGCGCTCAGGCCTGCCGCGCCTCTAGATACAGTTCAGGTCAGCTTGTCCCCGGGCCCCTCTGGCCCAGGCTCTGTCCCGTCCATCTGTAAGGTCCTTGGACTCCCACAACTACAGGATACTGCCCTGGAGCCAACGGAGGTGGCTTTGATGAGGCCCCGGGGTGGGTGGGAAGAGCCAGTAATTCCAAGCTGGTGGGGGTGGGGTGGGGTGGGGGATGGCGGTTCCACTCGGTGCTGCTGGGCTAGTCTCTGGAGGCTGTCACTCTTGTGTTGCCTGTACAGGGCATCCTCAGGCCTGTTGGCTCACTAGCCAGGGTGGTGGAATTGCTCACTTTATAGCTCTGAGCTCAGATACCCAGAGAGGTGCTTGACCGACCAGGCTCACAGGAAGTAGTGGGACCAGGACTTGAGCCAGAGCGTATTTTATGAAAAATAACTATTTTAGAAAATGTCGTCCCGTTTTATATGTTTGCAAACCTTTTTTTTTTTTT